CTATCATTGAGCAGAGATCTCGTGCTGAAGGTCTCTTTACCAGCACTAACCCTGTTTTCAGTAACAACAGAACATTTCCATGTACCAGACACTGTGTACCTGCACACACACCAAGAGAAAGAGAGGGAGGCAGAGAGTCAAATTGCAGTGGATGCTGTGTGCCCTCCAGATGTCACCAGTGACGGAAAAGTACCGTCACAACCTGCCGGAGCTCTGCTCGGTTCTGCAGGAGAAGGGATTAAATAATTAACCTCCCGGTCGATCTGCTCATTTTGCTTTTTGTTCTAACGTTCTCTCACTTCAAAAAAAAAAAAAAAGAGAGGAGGGAAAAAAATGCCGACTACGGTGTTCTTTCAGCAACTGCTGTGTGAGCATGAAATGAGTTCACTGCGCTAAGTATAGAGATGATGTTTCAGGATGCACACAATGTCTGATTTGCATCAGGATAGTTTGAATATACGCAGTGGCAAGTCAATGATGGAGATTTTAAGAGATTCTGGGATTGATTTAAGAAGTTATTGTTTGTCGCTGTAAAAGTTACTCAGAATCTGCTGATGTCTTCACTTCCTTTAAGGATTTGCTTATTGTTCCCTAAGTGAACTCCTGGTCTGTCCGGACTTTCTTCCTTTTGCCATAATAATGTAGTGAGGTCACTTCACAAGGACTGATGATGCAGTCAGGGCATTACAGCTTTGACAGCACTCTCCTATCCACTGTACTGCAGTACTGGGAGACTGCCATCAAGTGGTTGAAAACTGCACCTCATCTTTCGTGGGAGCTAGTAGTAGTTTTGGATTTTTCATTATATTTTTGTCTTATTTCGTTGTGACTTTTTTTTTGTCTAATTCAGTTAGTTTTCTCAAACTGTGTGATTATTCTTGAACAACCAACTGACTGCCGTTTTCTCCCAACCTTTGCTGTTACCATTTTGCGGATTAGCATAAGTGTAGCCAGGAGGAGTATGGAGCTGATGACTGATGTAAACTGCTTGTGTATGGGTGTGTGTATGGGGGGGGGATCAATATCACATAAGTTATAACATAACACAAAAATGAAGGATATTATATCTATAATTTCAATATGGCATGTTTGACTAACCAAATAATTCTGACCACTGGCATAATCTGTGGTTTGAACACAGAACAGCATGGAAAGCTCTGCAGGATTCACTGTCTCAGATAATGTCATAGGCCATGATTCAAGAGAGAATGGGGGAAGACAACCTCCATGGGACAGTTCCAGCACCAGAACCACTGCTGACCCAAAATGTCACAAAGACCTTTCTCATATTTACCAAAAGACATCTTAAGGATCCTCAAGATGTTTAAAGAAAATATTCTGTGGACTGATGAGAAAAAAACTGGACCTTTCTGGAATGATTGGGTCCCTGGAGTAAAACTAACCTGAGTCCGAGAAAGAACATCATGCTTGCAGTCAAATATGGCAGTGGTGGAGTGAGTTTGGTAGTCTGGGTGTAATCGACGGAATCATGAATTCTCCTCTCTGGAAGAAAATCCTGAAGGAGAATATCCAGCTACCAGTTGTGTTATGCAGCAGAAGAAAGTTTCAAAGTCCACAAGAAAGTTCTCCTGTGAATAGAAGAACCAAAGTGAAGGTTTTAGATTGGCCCAGTCAAAGTACATAGTTAAATCTGACTGCTGTGGGAAACCTTGGTGGTAAATCCAATGAATTCAGTATATAGAGTAGGCTGGAAAATGCTCACCTGTAAGAGGACAACAAAAATGATGCATATTTGTGTGCATTAAAATGTAAGAGAGAGAAAATGTCTGTAAATAGATTCTCTATAATGACAAAGTAAACCTACTTTCACATCCCACCCTTAAGACATTTGGTTTAATATTGTGTTGACCTTTAAGCATCAACTCTTCTGGAAATGTTTTCCAGAAGGTTCAGGAAAGTTTATGGGATCATTTGTGAGGTCAGACACTGATGTTAGACAATAGGGCCTGACTTGCAGTATTCACTAATTTATTCCAAAGGTCTTATATTGGATGAAGGAAAGGACTTAAACTCTTCTGCTTTGAAATAAAGATTACAAGAGTAAATATTTTAGTGTGAATAAATGAAAAAATTCATGAACAAAACCAAAATCCAAAGTTTCTTTTCACCATTCATTTATTAGTTGTTTACATGGATCGTACAACATATTATACCATCATATTATACAAGTACAAGGCGACGATCCACAGTGCTATATATCAAAAGTAAAAGGATGGAAAACCACAGTTAAGAAAATAGAATCACAGAGTTAACAAGTTAACATGGAGGTCAAAGTTCAAACCTACATCTCCTCCCACAGCTGACGTTTACTGTCAAATACAATTACAGTACAAAGATCCAGAGATTATTGGGTCTGCAACTGATCACAGAATCAAGGAGGAAGAGCAGTACGGAGAATTCATGCACACAAAAGCTACCTTCATGAAATCCCCACTGAACAGAACAGCATGTATTTTCAGACATTTCTGATGAATAATAAATTCTCTTCAACCCTTATTACAGAAACATGATAGCCTTGAACTTCTACATGGAACAGCTTCCATCAACACATAGTGCTTACCCCTCTAGCTGCAGTTTCTGTATGTAGATAAATTAAGTTTTCCATTCTGAAATTATTTTTATTTTTTACAGCCAAGCTGTGTTCAACAAACACGAGTTCAGACCAGAGCTTTTCGCTGCTCACATCTCCATGGAAACCATAGGCTCTGCTGAACACAGCTCTGGTCATTTTAATCTATGGCCACACTGGCACTAGATGGCTAAAGAGGAAAATGACGTGGGAAACACAAATAAGGCACAAACACACACAGAATTTCCTTTATTAATTCTAAAAAACAAACTTGTTTTGACTTGGTTTTCTTTCTTGTTTTGTAGTAATTTTTTGTGGTTTTCAAATGTCTATACACCTGGTGAAATTCAGAGACCAGGATAAATGATTTCTCCTCCTTTTGTGAGACTTCTGTCTAGAAATCAGTCAAAAGGGCAATAAGGACATAAAACAGATGAAAAATTGAACTTTAACCAGGGTGTGTGGACTTTTGAGAAACACTGTACCTTTAAGAGACATTTCACATCACAGATCAAATAAGAACAAATCTAAAAATCACCATGCTGGAGTTACAACGTGGCCACCTGATTACACACACCTAACAAATCCATTGAATTTAATGACTTCTACATAGTTACACACACACACACACACACACACACACACACACACACACACACACACACACACACACCACAACAACATGAGCATGTCAGTCAGCATGGCACCACTGGAACAGCTGCTGCTTTTTCTTTTAGCTCCAGTCGAGCAAAAATTTCTCATCTTTTGGTGTTTTTCAAACATTTTAGGTAAGATAGCAACATCACATCACAACTATTCAAGGGTTGCAAATTATTTTGGTGACATATTTATGACTGTGTGACAGAAACCGAGCCAATTGGTTCTGTATGACTCTTGGTTAAAATGTATGAAGATTTCACTTTGACACTGAATACTTTGGATGAGCTGCATAATAAAAGCTTCAGAGTCCAACATGATGTAATACAATAAAAACTCACAGGTCATGACTTATAATAATAATAAAAAAACAAAAATGGAGCAACATGTTGGCAGGTATTGCAGGCGCTTCTGTTTCACACAGCTTTAGTGTTAAGAAATATTAAGTTTTTTAACAGCCCTGATACATCACACAACATTTAAACCATGAGTGGAAGTGCTTGATTTTGCTCTAATAAAAGCTAATTTGCAAATAGTCAGAAGACTAAAATTTAAATTGAAGTTACGGATATGGTGAACAGAAGCCCAAAGGAGAGAGGGGGTAAGCTGGACCCAAAATGAAAGACCATATAGGTTTGGAACTAGATGGCAAAGTTATGAATATAATTGTGTTTTGGTGGGAATTTAATAAGGTCAAACATGGTAGGCCAAAAAAACCCCAGCAGGGATTCTGAATCTCAATGCTCAACTGCAGGCAAGGAGCTGCTGTTTTGCAGGAAGAGGGCAATTCACTAAGGCATATGTGGAGATTTAAAACCGTATGCACTTAGTTTAAAAAAAAAAAACAGCAACAAAAAAAAAACATTGTACAACTTGGATGAACTCCATTGGTGGCACAGCATGAAACGAGTTATAAGGCAACAAAAACACATGGAATAAAACACTAACAACATACATCAGTACAGCATTACGTAATTAACGTGCTGAACATGCTACATGAAGAAAAACGTACAGAAAGTGTTGCTTACAGTATGACTGAAGGGGATCCTCTGTGGCAGCTGGAATGAGAAGCAGTTACTGTCATGTACCTATAAAAAATGTGCTTCTATTAGCAATAAAAGTCTAAAAAGAAAGGTCGACACCATCCAATCATGTCTGGTCTTTAGGGGGCGATGAGGGTGAACTGTACTTTCCTACTCAACCTGAAGTTTACCAACGAGGCGCTGGAAGACTATAAAAACCAAGAAACTATTACCAACAATGAAACATCACTTAAGCCAACTGTATAAGGAAATATGACAGTAACGTGGGAATAAATGGTGTATTGCTATGGAAACAAAGCGTTTCTAGTACATGAAGAATATAATGAATTTGCATCCCACTAGGAAACAGGAAGTTTCTCCACCACCTAATACTGCTGACTGAAGCGGTCACTGAGCCACCAAACAACATGATGTCAGGCTGGGAAGGAGGTCTAGAAATCCAAAGGTAGAATTCGTTAAATGTTTTGGTCTAGTTCAGACTTTACTCTAACAGCTGAGTTTGGCATCTGCAAGAAATTACACTGAAGCCACTCAATGGCCACAGCACTCCGAAGATTGTCGACACAATTTCAGTACCAAGTTCACAATTATTTAGGTAAACCTGAGTCCATCGCAGACACACAAACTTCCACCTCCGTTCTGACGGCCTCTCCTGACTTCAGCTAAGAAATCACACTCCTACAGGACATTTGATCATGATTGTGAGGCAGTTTTTTTTTTGGCACCAATCAAGAAAGGGGAGCAATAAACGGGACATTACCTTAGAGAGAGCAAATAAATAGATGGTTTTTGTTTCATACCAGGATAATTCTTTGCATTTTAACCCATTTATGCCTGACTCACATGGACATAGGAATGCAGCCTACAGCCGGGGTAATCAACAGGACAATGCTAGTGGACGAGTCAGAGAGATGAAACTACATGTGATTGGTCCACAGTTTGTGGTGTTGGTATGGGAGTTTCTTCCTAATTGGTGGTGCTCATGTTTAAATGCTGCAGAGGAGGGGAGTTTCCATGACAACACAGGCTGCATGAAAGAACTCAAGAAGAAGAAGGGGAGAGGGAATTAGGTAAAAACCAGATGCTGCTGGTCCAGCAGGGTTCTGGTGAAGTTGTTGATTGGCCCAATAGCACTGAGCGACATGGCATTGTCCCGCCCCCACAGCAGGTTTGGGCCAAACACCACAGCCAGATTGCTGTTGGTCATCTTATTCACTTCACTGTTGGCTGACACCTGGAAACAGAAACACATGTTAGTGGGAGCTGGTGGAGTGAAGTGGAACTGTTCTCAGAGTGTGTGTTGTACCTGAGCCAGGAATGTGATGAGGTACCGCAGTGAGGCGTAGTTCTCCTCTGGAAGAGACTCCACCAAAGTTTTCATTACTTCTGCCTGATTATCACTGGATACAGCTGAACAAACCAAAGAAACCATCAAACCCATTGGAATTATCCAGCAAATCTGTCTAGCCAATTTTTCCTTAAACATTACAACTGGTAGCTGCAACCCTTTGGGAGTAAATCCTTACAGAGTAAAGAGCAAAATTAGTTAGAAAAGCTGGATTTTCATTCGTTTCCACAAAAAGCAATAAAGTCCTGAAAACATTTTACACTGAAAATAAGCTTCTGGTACTCCTGCCAGTCTGTCACCCTCCAGAGAATGAGGGATTAGATTGATTTATCCTCATTCTTACAAGTCTTGAACTTACATGTGAAGTTGACAATGTCATTGTAGAGCTGGTATGTCAGCAGAGGCTCAGGAAGCTCTCGAAGAAATGTCTTTAGTATGACAGCGGCCAGGTGAACGTCCTCCATGTCTCTGAAGTTCACTGTGGCTCCTAAAACACAGTCAGAAGACGACAATAAATACAAATTCTCAATATTAAAGTGATCCACCACATCATAACTAAAGCCTCAGATTGCTGTTTGTCAGTAGATCTTGGTTTGATCAAAATTTGATAAATTTCTGATCTCTGATTTTTGTAATAGTCAGATGTCCAGATACCAATTTTAGCCAATTCTGATTTCCGTTTAAGAACTATAAAATAACTGAATATTAGAAACAAATTCTTGGATGTTTGAACTTGTCTTTAGCATCTTTTATCAGGAATTAACACAGCTATTTTGGAATAGCTTAACCCCAAAAGGTGTGGATTTATTCATGTGTTTCCAACCAGTTGGCCTCTAATAAGAGCTAAAAATCAGCTGATTTCTCAGTTCATTCCAGCTTTAAAAGACATGGCTAAGGAGTGGGGTGGTTCACTTAAAGCTGGCCACCAAGTCTTGTCACTCATACCGGAGTTGTACTTGAGTTGGACCTCCTTTACCAGAGTCACATTGGCGGACCGCCTGAAGATCCCCTCAATCTCCAAACCTGACAGGAACAGAGCAGAGAACAGGAAGCAAAGGTTTTCAATGTCTGTTTTACAGACCAACAACCATCGGCTGTCTGTTCAGACAGCACTGTTGTCTGTCCCACCATATGAGGCGCACAGCACTTCATTTCTTGCGTTACCTTGTTCTGACAGGAAGCTAATCGTGTCTCTCATCACTACAGGAACTAGATGATTATCTGGATCCTTCTGTCTCAGCCTAGGACACAGAACAAAAAAAGTCAGCCATGAGCAAAACCAAAAAGCATTCAACTGCAGACAGAAAAAGCAAAGGTTCTGTGTTGTGAACTTACATGACTAGTGAAACCCCAAACACCTGCTCGGGCAGTGGGGGGCTATGAGGAGGAGACAGGGAGGGCAGCGAGCTGGGCTTCAGAGATGCTCTCAGTTTGTTGTCATACCTGATCCAGATCAGATTCAAACATGCTCAGTTTGGGATCAAGAACCAGATTCAAATGTCTGCAGAGGGTTCTAATGCCAGTCAGTTCTTACTCTCTGACACGGGTTGGGATGACCAGCTGATCACACTTGACCACGTCCTCCAGCTCACTCAGGTAGCTCACGTAGTTAATCTTCCTGCCGAACTTAAAACTATGACCAGGAGAGAGAGACACCATCACAGACTATTCACTCACTGGTCAACACATGGAAAGTGATTCATATAGAACAGAGCTGCCTTAAACTGTTTGGATAAGTGTGGAAACCTTATCCAAAGGTTTTCACACTTTGGATAAGGTGTGGCTTTTAGCCTAAAATAAATTTTAGGCTAAAAGTCTAAAATTAATTTTAGGCTAAAAGTCTAAAATTTATTCAGGCTTTTAGCCTCCCATATCTTGACCAGTGGAGTTTAATGTGACACTGATCTTATCTACGTCTGCAAAGATCTGAACATCAGTCAAAATCAGAATCAGCAGGTCAGGCTTCTTAACGATCGGCCTGAAAACTGCAATCAGTGCACCTCTAGTATAGACTTTTTACATCTGTTGTACATTTAACAGGTAACTGTTTAATATTTCCCTACTTTGTGACATTTGGTGGTGTGAGAGAACAGATATCAAGTGGGATTCCTCAAGGCTCCATTGCTGAAATTACCTAGTATTTCAATTTTTCCTGTCATAACTAAACCCATGAAAAAACTTTGTGGTTTCTCTTTACATGTCAGCAAGCAAGCATGTTCACAATATCAACAATGCTCCTGTTGGTCAGAATTTATATTAGCTTAATGCAGAAAAGACTGACGTTTTTGTCACCAAACATGCTAACATGGTGGAAGATCATAGAATGGGATTGGAATTATTATTATAATTTTAAGTAAGACCAAGCACTGGTTTATGTTTACACTACTTTGAATTCAAAAGCTGGAACAAGGTGCATCATAGCAACAAAGCTTCTCACCAGCAGAGGGCAGTACACAAACTTTCTCTAAAATGTTGACCATATGACAACTTTAAGAGAGGAAGATGATATCATTTTACAAATTTCTAAGTTCTCATCACTTTAGTTACCACACTATTTTTCTTCTTAAGTCCCAGTTTTAAATATTTCCCTAAAAATCCAACCTGATGATTGGTTTGAAGAGGATCAGCAGAGTCTTGATGAACATGGTGGGGTGGACAATGTACAGCGCCTTGATGTTCTTCTTATACCTGAAAATACAACCAGCAGATTTAAACTCAGCATTCTGTCTCAGTAGATGGACCTGCCTTTATTTATCACCAAGTGTTTCTCATTTTTACTGAGGAAATTGTTTCTAAACACATAGTCATTAAGAGAACCAGGGTTAGCAGAGTGTAACCAAAGGATTGTCTCAGTTTGTTGTTGGAGTTTTATTGTTTAGATTTAGGAGCTCTGGATCTAAACAATAGATCCAGAGCTATCCAGAGTACATTATTGTTATAATGTACTGAAATATAATATCAGTACATTATATTTATTTTAATATATAAAATATGACAGCTCACCATCAAGTAATAGCAGATAGATTTGTAATTACAAATCTTTTTCATCTTCTTTATTTTCTCCATGCTTATAAAGACCTGAAAAACCCTGACCTCAAACTGAAGGCTGTTCCAGAATGTTGGAACCCGACTAGAAGTCTTAGGTGATTGTATGATGGTGTGTAGGAACTTCCTGTAAACTTCTGCAGGGATTCCTTCAAGTTAGTGAACTTACTTCCGGTCGAACTCCTTGTATGCTTCTCGAAGCCAGCCAAATGAAGGCTTGTTTTCACTGGTCAGCCCATGATGGAAGTAGATCAGTGTGTAGTCGCTCTCTACGTACTGATCCAGAGTGGCTTTAAGATACCTGCAGGAGAGAAACCACTTCAGCATCAATCAGGGAGGCAAACAATAGAATTTTATTCAGTAGGGCTCTGATTCAGCCATCTTATTTTCAAGGGTAACATGAAACCAGTAATAGTCAGTGAAGAATGGACAAAAAAACAAACCAATCAAACCTGTCTCAGACAATGATGTCCACACTGGATGTAGAAAAAGATGGATGGACAGATGGATGGCTGAATGTAAATCTTAGATAATTTGATGTGGAAAGTATGGAGATACAATTCCAGAACTTGAAATACTTTAATTAAATTCCAGACTGTTCACTTTAGCCATATGAAACTCCAACTTCTAGAAACATTTCTGTTAAGTTTCAACTTGGGAGTAAAAATGAACGCATCATTAAACCCCGTGGTGAACGGCGTTGATGTGCAGGGTTACTTACATCAGCAGCTTCTGATGGTCAAGCTGATGCTGTGGCGGCAACCTGCAGGCGCTGAACACTATCACCTTCCTGCCAAAGTTGTCGTCGCCTCCACACAGAGATCAAACAGCATCAATATTACACACACTTTACTTTAGCAGAAACAAATAAGCAGAAGTTTAATATTAAAGAGCCTACCTGCAACCTCAATGATCTGATGCCTGGCTATGTCGTAGAACGGATGGTCCCAGGGCAGGTGGGGAGAGCCGGGGTCGAAGCCCTGGGAATTCTCCGTCTCTGAAACACATGGAGCCACACGTTAATACAGCCGAGAGATAAAACATCACCAGAGGAAAAAAACCAGGACGTCTGTCTCACCTGATTTGCTAAGTGAGGACTCATCAGGTGGCCATTGCTGATCCTCTAGGGTGGAGAGCTTCAGCTGTCCTAACTGTGCAGTTGCAGCTTCTTCACCCAGATCTACCAGCAGCTCAGAAGACATCCCACACAGAGGATGGGACAGCGATGTCTGGGAAACCTTCACACACCAAGATGGAGTCTGGAAGACACAGATATGCCTCATATCCTCAGCAACATGCTCTTCTCCTGCCATACTGAATGTCTTTTAGTGGATGATGATATTAGGATCAGACTCATATGGGATTAAAAGACAAAATAAACATTATTTTTTGTTTAGCACTTTTGCCAAGTTTGAGAAAGAACTTAGCTACTTAGCTTCCCCTGAATTCATTTTTCAGGATAAATACTAAAGCACTAATTGGTTGCTTTGTAAACTTCCAGTTGAATAAAGTTTTATATCTGTGTTCAAAATCCATTAATTTTCTTTTTTTTTATCCCCCAGTAACTTTATTTCAAACAGGAAACATACAGAAAACAGAAACATACAAAAACAAAACACAAAAAGTAGAGAACAAGACAAACATAAATACAATGTCTACGGGCATTATACAGCATATAAATTATAATGTCAAAATTAAATTGGTGTTCTAGGGTTTAAGTTGTTCAAAGCAAATATAGTGTGAATTGAAGTTAGCAATTTAGCTAACTAATGTTTATGAGTAGAACAATAGCTTTCACTAAATACAGTGACATATAGTGCTTTAGCATTAGCAAAACTAATGTTTATAATTAGCTTCTGTTAAGTATCATGATTGTATGATTGTATAGCACTTTAGCGCTAGCTGAACCAAAGTTTATGATTCATGTCATCACTTCGGTTTCCGCTAAATACTGTGACAAAGTAGCTGTTAGTGGTGTTTATAATTAGCGCATTAGCATAAGCTTCTGTTAAATAGTGATGATATGGCACATTAGTAATGTTGGTAAACTAATGTTTATGATTAGCACTTTAGCATAAACTTCCATTAAATATAGCACTTTATCGTCAGCGGAACCTAACTTTTTAGTTAGCGATGGTCAAGTTAGGAAAAACACAGAAAATGAGGAATATATAATATTCTGCCCAATAACCATAGAAGAAATTCTATGTTGTTTTAGTGTATTTAGGTCAACTGCAGTTTTTAGTGACTCAAATCCTCACTGAAAGTGATGGGAAAATTTGAAAAGGGGAGGAGGGGGGAGAGAGTGAGAAAAACATAACATGTCACTAACATGACATGATCACTTTGTACAAACAAGAGGTGAAAATTGTTTGTTAACTTTTTAGGCTAAAAATTCATTTGGTGAATAGTATGGTCACTGCTGAGGCTCAGACCATGACTGTGTTCTGGTAGAGAACACACAGCAGGAGAAAGGAAGTAAGTTTCAGCTGCGTTAACAGAAAATCTGCTAATTAGGCTGATTTTCAGTTCCTTCACTGTAGTTACAGGGAAACAATGATAGAATGATATTAATACTTGTTTCTCTCAAGTGGTAACTGAAAGTCCTGCTGTTTATCCTGCAGAAAACTGGGCTTTGTTCCATAACAGCTGGATTATTCATAATCAAAGAGAAAGCAGAATACCCAGCATATGGAATAGATGCTGGGAGAGAAACTGAACACTGCAGTCAATGTTGCTGACAGAAGGAGCAGCAGATCCGAATCGAGTGAGCAGGATGTTCTAACATTCCGATGCTCCCATGTCTACGGGCGTGGCACCCACTCAGGCCTAGATGCAGAGAGATTAGGTGTGAAGTCATTAAAGGCACCGTAAGATCCATCTGCAAAGGCATCAGAACTGCCATCTCGTGGGTGATGCCAGTAGTCCAGATTACATTTGGCAACATTGAAGGTGGGGGCTGGGGGGAGAGACATTTGAAACATCTGCTAAAACGTCCAGATTCAACTGTCCAAGCAAGTTCAATCTGAATGGAGATGGAAAGAAGACACTAAAAAGCCTGATATCCCACAGTTGTCTCTGGCTGCAGTTCATAAGAAAGCTCTGTCCAATCAGCAACAGGATGAACACCTTTAACCTTCACGGAAGCTGAACAAGGAGAACCCCAACCCAGTTGTGCAGCATAGAGGTGGCTGTGTCATGGTGGTCAGGGTGACCACAATCCTAGAATCTGTCATCTATGTAATGGGGCTTCTTCTCGATCCTTGGCTTGCATTATGGAGAATAGATTAGCTGTAAACTTCATGGTTGGGTGTAACACATTTTAATTAGCTTGTTGTTATTGACTGAAAGTGTGCATTAATGCTTTATTGTGTTGCATTTGTATGGTGAATGGAGATAAGGTTGGAAGTATCATCAGATGTTGATAATGGTCGGTGAAACACCAGGAACGGCAGAATTCCAACTGCTGGGCAAGGATTGACACAGATCCAGCCGTTGGAACATGGCTGAACAACTGCACTGTGCTTCCTCCTCTCTGATGGCCGCAGCGTGCAGCCAGATAAGAGCCTGGAGCAGCTCCAGCTACCGCCAGTGAACCTGAAACTGCTGCATGCTGGATCTGCATCCAAATAATGGGAGCATTTCCCGCCTTCTTCCCTCAGATTAGCTCTGTCCCCACGCCGTACTCTCATCTCCCAACCCCCACATGTTCTTCCTTTATCTCACACACACATACACACACTGCTGTTTGATGTTATGCTGGCTGACAGCATGTTGCTTTAAATAAACATTGGTAGAAACCAACAGTCAGTCAGCTGATTGCTGCTGACTAAACACACTCACCCACATAGTGAAATGCAGCTGTTAGCACACATTCTGACTCCTGAGTGAAGAACGGAGGAACCGTAAAGGCTGACGAGGTCTTGGAGATTGAGTGACGCCTACAGCAGGACAGCAGCAGGTTCCTCTTTTCGCTGTGAGCGTGCTCACACAACGCGCCGCTGCAGGGGCTGCGAGCGCATTCCCACATGACTCAGCTGTGCAGTTTGTGTTCAGAGGTGAAATAGGTGAGGTCCAACTGCAGGTGGGCCAGAACCGTTTTATCTCTGCACTACTTATCAGGTTGCTACACACTTTATTCTTTCTGGTCAGAACTTCACACATGGAGGCTGCAGTGTTATTAAAGAGGTGGAGTTTTAGCTGGTGCACTCATAAAAAGCCTTAGAAACCCTGGGATGGATGGAGGAATGTTACTGGCTCAAAGAAAGATTTGAGTTTGTTCCACCCATTGTTAAAATCTGGTTGTTCTTCAGACATGGTGAAGAAAAAAAATACTATCAGAGCAGCTAACAGGAGCAGTGCAGAGACCAACATTCCCAGTTTGAATGTGCGTCTTCAAAGATAGGTAGGGACTTGATATTATTCCACCACTAAAGTTGAGCCTGGTATTGGTGGGAGTTACGTAAGTTCAAATCAGTGAATACTTGAGACTGACTCTAACATACAACTGACTACTTTAATAGTTCAAATACTTTAAAATAAATTCATGCAGTGCTCACTAGAGTTGCAAAACTCTAAAAAGCTATTTTCAAAGTCTAAAACTTTATTTAGAGATACTGCTGATAGTGAAGAACACAGACAGCAATGGTGTGAGAACTAAAGCAGGAAGCCAGACTAATTATAAGCTTATGTCACCATAAGAAGCAGAAGAGCAAAAAGGGAAAAAAGAATATTCTGTTGAAAACGACTAAATTCAGCAACTTTTCACTGGTTCCTACTGAAATTAGTTTTATTTGAATCTGCGTTAATGTAACATTGAAATGACAGCTTCATCTTTGGTTTGTAGTCTTGGTATTGTTTTTATTATTCACTTGAAATCATCATCACCCTCTCAACACACTGCTCCCGTCAATCAGCTGGTGACCTAATCACTCAGTCTGTAAAACCAGTTTGTTAGCTTAACAGCTGTGTAAAGGTGATGTGACAAAACATGCTGGTTATCAACAAGAGAATGTGTAAAAACTGTTTCAAATAGTTTTAAATAAGAATGTTGCTGAAAGGCCACAGTTTTTTCTGGCTGTTCAAAGCACACTCGCACTCTTCCCAGCTCCACTTGTTGTTGGACACAACCAGGAAGACATCTTTCCCCAACCATCCGTACAAACACAAACATGCCCACAGCCTCCCTATGTTCATGTGGACAGGATAAAATGGGAGGCAGCAGTCATAGCATGCATCCTGTCTTGCCTCTATGACAGCTGCCATTGTAAGGTTGAAAAGTAATTACCATGAAAACTAGACACCAGTGGAAAGCTCTGTTGCAACTGCTAGTCATTTGCTCCTTGTGTTTGATCTAAACAGCTCATTTTATAGACCCAAAACATCAAGCATACAGTAACAGTTGTAGGAAGGCATTTTTCTCCAACTGTTTGCTTTCAGAACAGTTGTCTACATCTGATGTGACTCTTCACATACACATCTATTTAATGGTTCTGTTGTCAACCAAAATGTACTAGAATTAGGAAAAACTTCTTTGTTAAACGCTATGTGATAAACATGTGATCAACTACAAAAAATAATCAAAAAGAATGGAAAAGAAACCCAACATGCTACGATCTGTGACTGCTTCATCACCTCATGTGGGTTATAGGTAAACATGTAAACAGATGACGTTAGCTCATGCCATCGGGCATGTTTACTCCTTCACTGTTCCAGACAGAAGAGCTTTACTGACATTCTAATCAGACAACCAGGGTTGTGGTGTTTCTCAGCTTTGAAGTCCCCACAACTGATTTGATGCTTATCAGCATCATTCAGCTTTTCCTGTTTATCTGCCTCATAACCCCATCAATGGTTTTACCATCTTCCCATAAAGAGTCACAAAGGCCTTTCTCCAGTCATATTTGCAGTTTTAAACATCTGCAAGCAGCAGATTAGGGCTTTAATGATTCCTTGATTGATTTGAGTATCTCGATTATTAAAATTTCTTGATTAAAATTTATCTGCCTCAAAGCTTCGTTAAATTATGTTTTATTAATTAGCGCAGCGTGTTCCGACTGGGTCATTATTTGCGTTGCACAGCGCTCTCATTTCCGCCTACAAGTTGAGACTTTGACTGGACCACTACAGCACCTTGATACCTGCTTTGTAGAAGATTAGATATGTTTGGGATCATCATCCTGTTGCTGACCCAGTCTGGGCTCTACAATAATTCAGTATAATCCTTGTTTGGTTGAACATCAAGTTGCATCATCAGATACGCTTTCAACAGAGATAAGTGGTTTGTGTAACAGTTTTTAAGCTGCCAGTTCACAATGTTTTTAGCTTTTTTCACATTCTTGTCCAAAATAAAAGAGGAACAGTCCCAGAAAAACCATATGGATGACCTGCCAAGGAGAGTTCTTCACATCACTTAACATAATGATGAAGGGCTTTAACGATTCCTTGAATGATTCGTGTACCTCGAATATTAAAATTCCTTGAGCCAAATTATCTGCCTCAAAGCTTTGTTAGATTAAATGTTTTATTATGTGGCCGGGTGATTATTTGTGTTGCGCAACGCTCTCACTTCCGCCTATGAGATGTTGACGAAAGTTAAGTGCTAGCAGCATAACGTCCAATTTTCAAGTTCAGTTCATTGATTGATGATAATGTCCAGATTTTTATTGTTCGGCTCAGTCAAAAATTCTGGACGAGAAATCGTTCTGCGGGCCACAATTGGCCCACGGGCCGCGAGAATGACACCTCTGCCCTAGATAAACTGGAAATTGTTAATTTGACTTTTTATTTTTTTCACAATTGTTTCCATAAGCGCGTCAATATATTCCAAACTATAATTAAATGCAAATATTGTGTGCTGTTTAGCAGTACAACTGCACTACTTAATAGTACTGGTCATTTTCATGTTAGTAGCAGCACTTATGTCTGCTGGGCTCTGTGACATACAGTCATGTTAGCTTTGTTTGGAGGTATTTTGCCTATAAGGCAAAAGAATAGGATGTCAGGATGTCAAAGCTTCGAGGCAGAACAGGTGGCTCAAGGTCGAGTCACTCTACAAACTCGGTCAATCATCTTACAAACATACAATCTAATGTTTAAGAGGAATTTAGAAAGTTCATAGTTCCGTTTCTACAGCAAAGTGTTATACATTCCAGGCAGCAATTATAGCAACTTCCCCATAGCTGCCATTACTCCTCTGTTCTGTAGTAAATTAACCAGTGGAGGCTAAAAATAAATCAAGTAATCATAATCTAAGAAAACATTAATTATGTTTTCTTTAGGATTCTTAAAAAAATCTTTAAGGATTTTTTTCCCTTAAAACTGAAACTGGGTAGTTGTCCAGATCTAATCAGAAACCATGGCAACCTACTCTGCTGTCTGACAATCAGAGAAAATGTAATGAGTAAACTCATATGGACATGGACCATGGCCATTATAATGTTGGGAACCTGGGTTCCAACTAACTGTTCAACAACTGAATCCACACTTCCTCATGACTATCAACACTTCTACATGTTTTTTATTACACAGATCAGTTTTTGTTTCAACCCAAAATGCTGCCACATCTCCCGTTACAGTTTTGCACTACTGTGTATCCTACCTATTCACTGATTTCTCTGTGGAACGTAACTCAAACTTATTTGGGAAAAATTAGCCTTCTCTGAAATACCTAGTTGCAATGCTACCTGATACAATAATGACTGGCATCTGCAAAGCAACCAATCCAGAAGTGCTATTAATTTTCTTCGGTGCCGATTGGCCCCAAGAATGGAGATGAGGATGACTGTAGATAGTAGCATCTAAAACAATTTCTAATGTGCGTAATAATACATATTAAGGTATATTTGGAAACTGAACTACTAAAACAGGCAGGTATAAGTCCTTGGTGAGGGGTGTCTCGAGAACCCCCTCTCCTTCTGTCTTTATTTTACCACCAGTAACAGACATAGCATTGCATCTTTGTCAACCCATCACTTTGGGCTACAAGCAAGAAAAGATGATCTAATTCTTAACTTGATAGAGTCCACTGACCAGACTATAAGGAACATGAACATTCTGACAGGCCGGAAGAGGAATGTTCATGTTGACCAAGCTATCAGTCGTCTGCAACACAAAGAAACTGTCAGCAGTGTCCAGACAGAAAGAACTGGTCTAGAATTGGAAGAAAAACCTCAGTTCTGGTCCAAGAATAACCAGAAGGAGAGGAACAAGATGGTGATGACAGAGGTGATGAGGATGGAGGAAGAAAGCCACAAGATCAAGGTTATATCATAGAACACTGGACAACCTTGGAGGGAGTAGACCTCTGGAAGGTCAACAAGATGCAAGAGCCACAACAACCAAAGGCCACAATGGAAGTTATGTCAGCATAATATAATTTCCATTGTGGCTTTCTTAGTGTTGCATTGCAGCTTTTGTAGATAGGTTGTGATTTTTTGCTGTTGAGTCGTGGTTCTTGTTGTTGCACCTTCTGCTGTTCCATTGAGACTTTTACTGTCGCTTTGGTTTTTAGTTGTCACCTTCGTTGTTGTGTTGTGGCTTTTGCGTTTTGTTAACCTTTCGAGGATAATGTAAATTTTCACTTTTGCATTGGTGTTTTGAACAATTATGGGGTGTTATTATTTTGATCCATCTCTACTTTGACCACTGCTGAAAGGTTATAGATAGGTATCTATAGGTAACCAAAGCCAACCTAAAAAGGGCATATTAAAAATATAATCTGGAAGTTCCTTTGTAGAGAAAGCAGTCAGATAAAGCTGCAGCATGTCTGAGCTCCAACGCATCAGCCATCAGAAGCAGCTGGGCTGTAAAAATGCTAAGTTAGCCACATTAGCTGCGAAGCTACAAAGCCAGTATACCTACCGTAGATAATAGACCTTTGTGTCATAAACCTGTTTTCACACACTGGAAGCAGTTCAAGGCTAAAGTCACTAGACTGAGTGTAAATACATCCAGAGTGGCTAAACCTCATCACAACAAACCAACATGTAAATAAAACAAACAGCCTGCAGATAGATACAGGAAACAGCAGCAGCAAAGCTTGATGAAAGATTTCTGATTCAACTTCATTCGGTTTTAATAAAGCAGTTTATACAGTTATAGAACACATAAATTATTATTTACCGCGTTATCTCTCGGACAGTCACTCTGGATTCAGCCGACACGGTCTGAGGTGCCTGACGTCGTTGTTTCTGCGTAAACCACTTATCCGGTTCGTTTCAAAATACAGCTAGGAAGTCGTCTTTCCGTCAAACTGTACCTGTCAAAATAAAATAACTTAAAAACAGATAACTCATCCCCTTCCAAATTCAAGGACAAGTGCGCACTCTAGTGTTTTTGGTAGAGTTACCGTAGCTTTCAAAAGTATTCATACCCCTATAAAAACGTAAGCATTTATTCATATTCCAACATGTATTTTCATGGAATTTTATGAGACACACTGGTCTGTCTCATAAAATAAATAATCAAAAGAATAAGCAGTTTACCTTTTCTTCTTTTTTTTAACAAATAAATGTTAGGCACAGCCACTCCTGAATATCAATATTCAAGTATTGCCATAGATTCTCATTTAGATTTTATTAGACCATTTGTCACAAAAATATAGTTTGATCCAAATCATCTCCTTGTATAGCTTGTTGTATATTTATTGGATGCCTTTTGTAATGCTACATAGTCAAACTTCACCACAACGGGGTGCTGTGGTGGCACAGGGGTTAAACACAATCCACATATGGATTAGTCCTTGTTGTGGCTGTTGCTGGTTCAATTCCCAGCCTGGTGACCTTTGCTGCATGTTTTCCCCCTTCTCTCATTACCCACTTTCCTGTCAATTCACTATTAAATAAAGGCCAGTAGAGCTAATAAACCCTTTAAAATAAAAATACCCCAAATATTACTTTGGGGTATCTCAAAGTAATATTTTCACCATATTGTAATTCATTTATAAAAGTCACAGTTTCTAAGAAAATATTTAATTAACAAGATAAATATTTAGTTTAAAAACTACATACTTCACTTACCACTTAGCTTCAAACTATTTAGGTAGAAGATTATATATATTTAGCTTAAAACATTAATTTCAGTTAGGATTTTAAATATTTAACCTCCAACTAAATGTTTAGTTTGTAAACTAAGCTAAAATGTAAATTACAAACTAAATATTTAGTTAGCAAACTAACTGCTTTTTATTTAGTTTGCAAACTAATTATTTCCGAACTATATTTAATTAGAAGATATATTTGATTCCATAGTAAATGAAGTTATCAAGTTTGTGTTTGGCATGTTAACTAAACTTTTAGTTTGAAATTTAGTTGTTTATCACTACATTTAGCTTGCTAAATACACGTTTGAAAAGTTGACATTTATAAATGAAAGAATTACACAGTGAAAATATGACAACTAATATGAAAGGTGAATACCCATTTTATTCTCTGTTATTGCTGAAATTTTGACTGTGTCACTTTACAAACACCTCAAACATGAATTTAATTTAGCTGTATCAGACTAAAGGGGGTGAATATAATGCACGCCACACTTTTCAGAGTTACATGTCCTTTTACCTTTTAATGTTACACTACTGTATGCTGATTTACGACTTAAAATCAGTATAAATCATAGATTCTCTGTGTGTAATGTGACTAAATATAGCAGAGAAGATACACTTTTGCAAGTCGCTGTAAATGTCTTACACCTTTATGTTTTAAACCATGAAAACCGGTTACGGAAACTCCTATAGGACAATCTTGTGGGCGGAAGTGCTCAGGCAGGTACGTTAGTTCCTGGATGTGATGCGGATCAACGTTCGGTCTCAGAGAACCGGTTCAGAACCAGCAAGAGAAGCGCTCTGACATGCCGGGAGGGGCGTCCCTCAGCCCGGCCCGACCTCCACAGCGATCAGACCGCATCCAGAGCTCTCGAGGCGCCGAGAGGGTCATGTCTACATACGGATTCAGTGGGAGTGGGAGGCTGCGGAGCAGCTGGCTCACACCGTGGCTCAAAGCCACCTTCTCGGTTCTGGGCTCGGCTGTTGCGATGTTTGCTGTGGGTGCCTTCTGCGCCCTCACCTATCCCATCCTGAGAGGTAGACACGGCTCTAAAGCTCTCTTAGTTATGGTTGTGTCTCCATCTGTTATATTCTCACGCTGACCTCTGCTGAATGTTTCAGAGCTGCGGGCGGAGAGGCTGAGAGGCGAGAATGGGACTGAAGAGAGGATGCTGGGTGAGTATTCCAGGGTTCCTTTCTATGCATTTTTCCCATTAAAGGCCATCAAGACTTTATGTTGTAATTATAAAAACTAAAGTTTTGTTATGTAAACAGGAAGATCATATTTGTAATTTTGTATAAATTCCACAAGGCCAACATCAATGTTTACAGAATTAAAATGTTTTGATATACATCAAAATTACATATAGCCTCTCTGGCCCTGTCAGATAGATATTAACGTTTTTGTTTGTCAATCAAGATACTCTTTCTGAGACATGCACTGAAAAATGAATTCCTTATGCATGATATTACTAGGATGGTATTGGTATCGGCCAATATTAGCTGTAAAATTTAATGTTGGACGTCAACCATTCCATCACAATAACTCACCGATATAAAATGCATTGATTTTATATGACAAGCAGTGAAAATGATGCCTGCAGCACAGCACAACATAAAATTTGCACTGTTTGAGTGTCGTTATTGTCTTAGAGAGCAAATGTAAATTTGACATTAAGCATAATGCAAATGCTGAAAGTGTTCCATCATTTTCAGCATCCTTTTTAGCTTTTTGTATTTGGTAACAGGCTAAATTGAAAAAGACAATATTTTAATTCCACAGTAGAGAAAGCCATATAGTTTCAGCAAGAAGGTATAGGAAAAAGTATTGGTATTGGTTATCAGCCAAATGAGTTTTGGTATATCGGCATGTCGGATATTGACCAAAAATCCAATATCGTGCATCTCTACCATATAATCAATGTGTGTCTCATAATTTGCACTTGCACCAAATAATCTTGTTCCAAGAGGCTCACACACTCTTAATTCCTCTCCTAACACACCTTGGTACAAGTAATCCCCATAAAAGTAGTGTTGCACCAATTACAGTGTTACGCTGACCTGCCAATTTCAATTTTGCCAATGGTGATTTTTCTGTCTGAAAAGTCGCTAAATATGGTGTCAAAATCAATAAGCCAGCGACCAGAAACCAGTAACCAGTGACTCACCTGTGTGTTCCAGGTTTCTGGAGCATCCTGATGATCTCGGCTGTTGCCGGATGCATCTCCTGCATCTTCTCATGGACTCTCACTCAGCTGGAGTCGTACCAGCCTGGCATGGCCTTCCCCAGCCTCCTGTCTCTGCTTGATTTCAGGTACTGCAGAGTGAAGCTGCACATGTGTTAGCTTTACTTACTGGATGACATTTATTGTGTCTGTTTGCTGCAGAGACCCTTCCAGCCACAGATTCAACATGAACTCTGGGCTAGCTGTTCTGAATGGCATCCTGGCTATGCTGACTGTCATCTGGAGCCTCTCCTGAGGCTTCGTTCTCAGCTGCACAGAGACCTGAAGACAATACACTCTGTATGAGACTTTTGTAATGTCAATTTGCCCGTTTGGGCAAACTGATATTGGACTTTGGATTCATATTTCTGTATGACAAGATAAGGGATCTAGCATTGGAGCCTTAGGAACATGGGCGAACCTGGAGATTCTGCAGTTGTAATTTGGAATATTGTACTTTTTTTTTTTACCATTTATTGCTGTATTCACATTCAGTTCTCTCTATTTTTATTAGTATAAAGAAAACATTCAAGTTATTTTATTTGTCTTTTGTTTCTCTTGGTTCTTTTTTACTGGGGTGAACCGTTGCTTCGTTTTCTCACCGATCACCAATCCTTATAAAGGTTGACCTACAGTTTCCGATTTTTTGGCCAATACCAATTTTGTTTTTCTGACAGTCATTACATTATCAAGAACAGGGTAGCTGACACACCACTGGTGGGCTAGCCTGTCAGTCAGTCCTCTCATGACAGAACAAAAGAGGATTAGCCAATCGCCGATGACCCAGAATTAACGAAATCAGTGTGCGCTCCTTCTAGTTTTTACTGTGTAATCTTGTACAGTTTTGAATATCAGAATTAGGGCAGTTTTGAGGTTCAGAGGGTCAAATATTTCTTTTCCTGCTCTTTTCTTTCAATAAACGCATCATTCAACAGCTGGTAAGTTGCTGTGAAAAAGTATTTCACATGTTCTTGCAGGTTCTTTCTGGTTTTCTTTTAATTTGACAAAGTTTGTTTCAAATCAAACTACACTGCTCAAAAAATAAAGGGAACACTCAAATAACACATCCTAGATCTGAATGAATGAAATATTCTCATTGAATACTTTGTTCTGTACAAAGTTGAATGTGCTGACAACAAAATCACACAAAAATCATCAATGGAAATCAAATTTATTAACCAATGGAGGCCTGGATTTGGAGCCACACACAAAATTAAAGTGAAATGTTCTCTTTATTTTTTTGAGCAGTATAAATTTAATATCAAGATCATTTCAGTACATGCAAAAATGAATTAGCTGCCATTAAGTGTTTGTGATAACTGGTAATGAGTAACAATTACTAGTGGATGATGGTTCTTTTAGTAATTTTTTGGACTTTGTAACTTTTTCCAGATGTCATTTAGTTTGTTCTTGAGTTTCTTTATAACATACTATGATGTAGTGCTGCCTCTGATTTTTCATTGTTTTAATCCTTTGAATTCTAAACAGGAATCTGCAAATCAGACATGAAAGAAAAAAGTAGGCATCGGTCGATGAATATCTACAGTTTCTGGATTGTAAACATAACCAACAAATATTTAGGAGAGTTGCTTGGTCTCTCTTCACTTATACTGGTTGGTTTAAAAATGCTTCAGTAATGCTAAATTCTCTCTAAGACCCTTATCTGATGCTGAAGATCACGGCGTATAAAGTATCTCTAAATCTCAATTATTAAATTGCTAGAAAGATTCAGCGGCAGAGTCCTATCTTGTTCTGTGGTTGAAGCTTCCTGGATTCCAGGAGTGGATCAAATTTTCTCTTGAAAACAAAGATGGAGAATCAATGGAAGAGCCTGAAAAACATTTTTGCATTTATTGTTAAGCTTATCGTAATGGGGCTAGAGACTCTTAGAGCTAGCGATCCTTCAGGTTTTTGATAGACCTATGTGTCAAACAACTTTTTAAACATCATCCTTCACTATCTTCAATATTTCCACATTCATTTTTATTTTCTCATCTTTGTTTAGTGCACCAATCTCTCCTGCAGCAAATAACCCCACAACATGATGCTACCACCACTGCTACACTGGATGTTTTTTTAAGGCATGAAATCTTCCCCCTTTATTATCCAAATGTAACAATTTCTACCAAGGGACGTCTCCAAATATTAGGGTTTTCATACCAGAGAGCAATTCTAATCTATAATCTGGATTTTCATGTTGATTTCGGATTGCTTCTTCCTCTCAGAGTGGCCTTTCAGTTCCTGTTGCAGGACCTGTTTCACCGACTCTCCTACCAGGTTCTGCAGCATATTCACATGAGTTTTAACTTTGACATCTCATTTTTGCAAATTGTATAAAGTCATAAACAGTATGCAAAATTTGAAGAAAATAATACAATTTAAAACAAAAATTGTAAATATTTTTGCTAACCCTAACAGACCAAAGACAGGAAAAAGTCTGATGGCACACGCACACACACACAAACACGCACGCACACACACACACACACACACACCTGTTCAGATAACAAATGAAACACAATGATCACATGTATAAAAAGAATTTATTCAATATATATATTACAAAATGACATTTTTACATTGTATAAAAAGTATTTGGTTGTCTTTTGCATATATTAAAATAATTGCCCTGCAGCAAATAGGGAGTAATTTTCATGTTAACTGTGGAGATTGTTCACATTTACATTTACTTCAAAGCATCAAAAGATTACAGATGAGAAATCAGTAGGCATGGAAACAGATTATAAGGCAAACTCTGCAACTCAGACATCTCTAAATCTAGAGACGAGCGATGAAAAGAGTGTGTAATGTCTAGTTGTACATTCATATGTCAGACAAGTCAACGGAAACTACAGTCTTTGGCATTAAGCGCCACAGCAAGGAATTTTGGGATATGCATTATATTCTCTGATTATATCAAAATTAATTTGGTCATTTTGCTTCATCACATATGAACTCCTGGCAACAGTGAAACAAAAGTTCAATATGATTTTGTCTATAAGAACTTTTTTTTGCCTCTTCATAAATTGGATACATTTTTGTTTGATAGACAGGAATGTTTCAGATCAGGGGTGCACCGATAATTCACCTGGCCATAAAATTGGCCTCAATTTCCTTAATTTTAAGATCGTGTTGGGCAAATACTTAGGTGACAAAGGAAGCAGAGGTCTGAAAATCAGCTACACTCCCATTCAGCTGTCCCATGAGGGAGGGGACTAACAGACAGACATGCCCACCAGGTCACGTCTACACATGCTTTGTTAACAATAATTGCTCCACTGTTGGCAATTTAACAGCTTTGACCCTACGTTTCGTTATAGGCAGGTCAGGCTTTTTAAAGATCAGTGATCGGCAATCAGTACACACCTATTTCAGATAAAACTATCTTCACAGATAATCTGAATAAAAATAAAGCAGAATTTAAACGAGGATTTTATTTATTTAAAAAGAATGGTATGAACTAACCTGAGGGTGTAGAATAAATAATCACCTCTAATCATGAGAACTGGTTGTTCAACTCTTAACTGCTGGAATTTTGGGTCAATCTGAATTTAGCTGCATTAATGGCCTTCACACATGAATTGTTTATGGAGTTAAGACGTGGGTTAGGAAACTTTCCAAAAAATGTGTTTTTGTTTTCATAAAGAATTCATGACATAAGGTAAGAGGGTGAATACTTTTCACATATTGGGTTGGATAATTTTCCCCTGAAATGGAATCATTTGAAAGCTGATATTATTTTTCTTCAGATTAGGTTTGTCTAATTATATGAAATATTTACCTCTGACAAAAGAAGCAAAGAGACTGGCGACCTGTCCAGGGTGTACCCCGCCTTTCGTCCGGAACGTTAGCTGGAGATAGGCACCAGCACCTCCCGACCCCACTAGATCGGGAGGACAAGGGTGTAAAGAAAATGGATGGATGGATGAAAAAAAGCAAAGTAGAAACACACTTACTTCTCCTTACTGAACATTTATCTTCACTGATGTATTTTAAAGCAGCTTTTCAGTGCAATTTGTCATCAACTAAACAAAAACTAAAAGCAGCTAAAATTTTTAAGGTACTTAAACAACAAATGACAAAGGAGCAGGGGATCATTTCAAGTTTCACAATGTAGTGTTCAGTGAAAACCTGCCAACAGTAATTGTGCGTCTCAGTACCACTACTTCCAACATGGAAGTATACATCTTTGTTAATTAGTGCATTACAGTCTACAGACTCATAGAAAAAGAAAAAAAAACACATTTACAGTCATATTAATTAATTTTGGCTGGTAACAAATGGTAGAACACTTAATATGGTACTGTAGTTAATTTGGTTTCTATTACAGGCCATAAACACTAGATAATGTTTTTCTGTCATATTGTGCCAACCTTAATTTATCTAAAACATGAATTTTTAACAGCAGGAAGCATTAGATCAGACAGTATTTTTTTATGTATTAAATGTAATCTAGGACAGTTGATATCTACCGTCTATGGTAATCTAATCCATAGCTATAATATGCTCAGTGCATTTTATGCACACTTTACTCCTAATGACTGCATTATGTATGAATAGGATAAAATAAGGTTCTGATGATGCGTTTCTACAACATGCTGTAATTCAAGAAATTTTAACATTTAGAACTGAGACTCCTGAGATGCTCCTATTTGATAAGCAACGGTGACAAATTTTATAATCTCATAATCTGAGTAACAGACTGCAGTCACACCGACTGCTTTGATTGAATTAACTTATCCCATATGCCAGTGCAATACACATTTGTTTTTTTGGCTGGTCATTTTTGCGGGGTTCATTCTATAACTTAAGGATATTTTCTAAACTCCCAAAGACATGTGAAATATTTCATATTATATATTCCACATAATCACCAAAATGTGCACCTTGTTAAATTGTACCTTACAAGACAAAATGTAAACATAGTTATATAAAAATGTTTTCCAAATAGTGAACTGCTCCCAAGTACCACCTTAAAAATTGTACGTTTCTCTTCTTTAACCATGTTTATGACAAACCTGTGCGTCATCAACAGGGTAAAAGTTAAAAAATAAAAATATGTAAACATACTAGTTATTTATAAATATGATAAATACAATAATTTGACAAGGATCAATCACAGAAAACATAAAGACATTAAATATTTAGTTTTTAACCATTTCAGTTGATAGACATGAAGAAAATTAATTAAAGCTATTCAGATTTGAGTTTGTCAGGTGATAACAGCTCCTAATTCAGCATGTTTTAGAGACATCACCTGAATCTTGTTTTAGCCATCCCATTCATTCTCCCATCTGTAACAGTAGAGGTCACAAAATTGCTATAAACACTGCACAGAGCTGCAGAAGCTAAATAACTATTGGTTGCTGTTCATTATGTCATCATATGCGTCATCCAGCTGAGTTAAGCAGCTTTATAAACTCCCAAAGTGGTCAGGAAATTAACCGACTTTAAACAGTTCCAGGCATTAGCACCCACAGGAGGCAGAAAGTTTTGGAAAACTAAGCTTTTCCAAAACTTTCTAATAACTATGGTTAAAAAATGGTTTGTTTAGAGGTTTGACTTGCCATCCTTGTTTCTATAAAGGCATCAAGGAATATCTCACATTTAGAAATTAAGATAGAGTGCAAAATCAGAGTGTCTCCTCTAAAAACACTTCTAACTGTATTTTAATAGTTTAAACAATAAATGTTGGTGTTACATTCCACTGAAAATCTGCAAATACTGAATCAGTAATAAGTGGGAGTCCACTGTATTGCATTTTGTTGAGGGCAAAAAACCTGAGTATATATAAAAACACTTAATATAGTTGCTTTTATTTCTATTGAAAACAAACCCACTGACTTCTGTGGTTAAGTTTCAGGTCTGTATCACTCAGACCTGAAATTACTTGGCTCAGAGGAAAACTTGGATCATTAATACTTTGGTGTTAATGATCCAAGTTGGCTCCACCACACAAGAAGTTCAGGTCCAGCCCGCTTCAGAATATGATGACATCATGAAAAGCCCCCATTCAGTTTGTTCCAAAAAAGTGATTCAATGTCCACTCAAAGCTTTAAGGTGAATCATTCACTGTGTCACGGCACTGTTTGGAGGAGGGCTGGACTCTCCACTGACTTCCTGCATGGTCCGCCTGGAGGAGAAGACTCTGTAGAGGCCGGCCAGGAGGAAGACCACCGAGATGACTGCGAAGTAGCCGCCGTAGATTAAAAACTGAGGGAGCGTGACCAAACAGGCAGCCATTAAACACAACACTGGCATCAGCAAAGCTTCCTTCACATCAGCAAACAGCCGACATGTTACCTGAGTGACAACGTCAAGGCCGAGTCCAGCTGAGTCCACCACGACCACAGTGATCAGAGTCCAGAGCAGCAGGGCACCGAACGTGTTGACTCCAAACACCAGAGCGTATCTCTGCATGCTGAGGCTGGCCGCTATCTGGTACCTGGAGGTCAGGGAGCAACACTGAAACCAAGCGCAGTACTCAACCTCATGTCACCTCACGTTGACATGCTGCAGAAGAAGCTGCAGGTGCTTCATGCTGAAACAGCAGGAAGCTTCAGATGGAGCAACAGCTGCTTGCTGCAATCTGGATTCACTGAGACACACTTCTCCTTTCTGCCTTCCCTCTTTTCTTTCTAAGGGTCTCAAAGAATTGCTCAAAATCAGATTCTGAAGCTTCCTCCTCACTGTGGTTTTCTACGCCATGTTAGACTCACGTTGCCACGGTGATGAGAAGCATGTAGATGGTCCTGAAGATGATGTAGGAGCTGTAGCTCACCCAGATGTTCTTCAGCATGGTCATGATGAAAACGCAGGCGGCCATGAGGAGGGAGAGGACCCACAGAAGCAGTTCTCCCCAGTGAGTCCAGTCCACTGGGAGGCAGCCCACCAGCAGAGCAGCCAGAGCGCCTGCAGGACACGACACCACTCAGACATCTGGACTCAGAACAGAAAGGGATGAAGAAATCATTTTTTCTGAATATGACTTTGTTGTAGTGCTGTAGAAAAGTATTTACTCCCCTTTAGATGGCTGTGATTAAGAAAAGAAAGTGGTTGTCACATCAAGGGGATAAAGTTAACCCTGTTTGATTAAAACAGCCCAGGTTACTTTTGGTAGTTTTTATTAGAAGTAAACGAGTGCTTTAGAATTTATTCAGAAAAATTATTTTAGGGAAACTAATTAAACTAAACATTTTCAAAGTTAGCAAAAATGCTAAATGAAAAACTAGCTCTTCTATTAGCGCATCAGCAGATTAGCGGAAGTGTGCTCACAGCTGGGATATTGATAACATCTCACATTTCTGTAGCTCGTTCATTTTGAGGATTGACAGCAATCTAGCTAACGTTAGCCTTGCTAAGGTGCTAGGCTTGTTGCCATTTTGTACCTTCACAAGTTGAGGAAGTTTTGAGAATCTTAAACTGTTAAACCTTAACTGTGAAAGAATGTCTGTCCAGTGAAGAATCATCAAAGTGTGCCTTGACTGGTCAAAATCTTTCTATGTTGAACATGGAGTTGTAGTGGCTAGCTGATAACAATCTGTTGAGGGATTGTTTAGTAATCACATCTTGTCTGTTTCTTCCATTGTCAAGTCAAAATGGGAACATTAAAGTGTTGTTATGGGGTCCTTAAAACAGCTTTCAATAACCAGCATATTAAAAAAATCTAATAGTACTTTCTGTCTTACGTCAAAATAAAACTCTACTTACAGAATCTTACAGGAAGAGTGCTTCATAAACAGTTTCTCTTGGTAGTATTGAGATTCAGTATATTTAGTAAAACAGTTTAATAAACGTCATACTATTCCACATTTAACAATGGTTACCAAGAAGGAATATTCTGTTTCTATTTGATTTACCTCCTAAGTGTGACTTAGATTGGATTGACTTGTCATGTCTGAAATTTGCAAAACACCAGTCTAGAAATTCATAAATGAAAGCAGATGCCATACCAAGCAGCGTGGACAACGTCTCTACGTAGCCGTTGTAGATTTCATGGTGTTGGGATGAATGGAATATCTCCCACAGTGCCTGAGCGTAGTTGATGATCTGGAAGTAGCCACATGTGGCCAGGGCCCACCACACCGACCATGCCAGCAGGGTGCGACACCTGTAGCACTGCAGGAAGTCATGGAAAAGCATCCATAACACCTGCACAAGCCCACTGCTGCCACCTCCTGCTTCGGATGACCTGGATATCTGAAAGAGGAAGAGTTCCCTTCTTCACACAACACACAAACTTCAATAAATTGTCAAGATGTGTAGATTTCTTACCATGGGTGCTCTGCTTTCTGAATCCTCTACCTTATCAGGGCTGGGACTGGAGCCAGCTGCAGGTTCCTCGACTACTCCTGGACTCATGTGGAAAAACAAACTCCTCTTGGGCATGGGGAGGAACCAGGGGGCAACGAAGGCCACGGTGGCTGACGCCAGCGTAATGATAACGAGGTGCACCAGCTCCACTTTGGCCAACGACAGCAGGAGCTGACCGAGGAGCGACCCGGCGGCCGAACCGAACAACGTGACACTGCGGCAGTAACTGGTCACTCTCTGGTAGAGCTCTGGCTCCACCACGCTGTAGATGTAGGAGTAGTAGGCAACCTCTGTTGCTGTGGCCAACCCAAAGAAAAACTCCAGCAGCTGCATGGCCAGCATGCCATGGGCCTTCCAGAGCATGGCGTAGGTCAGTACCAGGCTGCAGGCCTGCAGTACCAACACCGGCTTGTAGCAGAGGTAGTCTGTAGCCAGGAAGATGGGGAGCAACAGGGCGAGGTAGGAATATGTCCATATGGGATAGATTTCATTGACAACCTGCAGAGAACACAAGAAATATATTTTTAACTTAGTAGAATTATAAAAGAAAAAAAAGGTTTCCCCCAGAAAATTCCATATTTATATTTTAGAATTTGTTTTTCACAGTGTGGCTTCGCCTCTGTTTTGATATAATTAATTCCTACAAAACTAAAAAAGAAAAAAAACCTGTTAATTTATTTAATGAAAATGTATTTTTATACAAGTTTAATCAGCATAGTGAGGTAAAATTATTAGCCTCCCGAACAAAATCACACAAAACTTGTAATATTTACAAAGAAATTACTATAATAAAAACTGTTCACATTTTATTGCTTCCAAAAGACCAAAGACAAAATCTCCAAAGATTGATCAGTATGTTTTATTGATGTGCTAATTTGTCAAAACTGAAAAATCATTCAAAAATTAACTACAAATTGTAATCAATTTCAAAATTGCAATTAGCAACAATTATACCTTTTAATTGGACTCCAAACCTCAGTTAAATGCAAAATAAAAACTTAGTTTCTAATATTGGACTTTGTGGAAAACCAAAAGATTTTCTTAAACTATGGTTTGGCATTATTGTTCAGTACTGAAACCTCTTCTGAATGTATTCTGAGTCTAAAGTTTTAAAGCATCTATATAGGTTTTATTTGGTTTTAGTTTAAGTCAAACCTTATGAATCAAAAACCAGCAGCAGGATGTGAAGTAGAGCTCTGAACAATCAACATCTGTGTTAGTAGAACAGCATTCAAAAACTGTTACATGTTTCACCACAGCACAGAAAATGGTAACAGTTTTATATTAACATTAGATATAGAACAGTCATATGCTTCTGCCTTGTTTTCTATTAGCTACTACTTCTCTTCCTTTTCTGATGCAAACATAACATGATGTGGCTACATGATCAAAAGTATAACCGTTTCATGTTGACAGATTTGTTGCTGGTCCACATTACAACCTGATGAAGGTCATTATTTAAAGGATTAGCAAGAAAGCTGACATTTTTTGAGAGATTATCTCAATCTGAATGAAGTGTGTCTGAGCCTCCTTCTGCAAACAGTATGACTATAATGGAGAAGTGCTGCTCACACACTCACACCGGACGTGCTGGTTTTACACAGTCACCTTCCAAAGTATGTTTATTAGCCATAACAGCAACTAAAACTGCTTTCTTTTAGGATGCACCAAAATAAAATGTTTTAATGAAGAAGCAAAACTAAAACCTGACACACTTTTAGTGTGTAAATGGATCAACCAACAACCTGTTCTATCTGTGGTTTAGAAGAGTCAAAAAAAGTTTAGGGACGTATGTTTTATTGTGTAAATGCAGTGAATGTAAAATTAAAATTAATGCCAAAAAAATCCACTTTATTCCAAGTTTTTCTGAAGACAAAGAAAAGTGAATGAATTACAAGATTTTATCAATTCAATTTGATAGATTTAAACATCAGGGTTTCCCACTCTGTATTATAAGCCTGGTGGGCTAACAGGCTTTCCTTGTGTCCCCCCAAGGCTAAGCATTGCTTTTTTTTTTTTTTTTTTTAAGTCTTTTTAAAATGTTTGCAATTTTAATACTTCATAGTTTGTGTTCAGGTATTAATTTTCCAATCTTTCAATAACACATAATTATCAAGTGATATTTTCAAATTTCATGTAAACTTAAAACATTTTTTAACTCAAAAATGTGACGGGCCACTGGATGAATGACTGCCCTAGCGCCCAACCACCGGCCTTAGCGAGTTTTCTGGGGGAAATCTTTAACATCAAAGCACATGTTTAATCTTTTTTTCAGTTATTGGTGTATTTCAGGGTAGAAAAACAGTAGATTTTTTTGTTTTGCTATGTTTAAATCTCTTACAACGAACAGCGTAACAACATAATGAAACTCAACAACTGAAGGAACATGTGGATGTAGAAGAAGTAATTTCCTAAGAGTAATACATTCCTGCTCTGCAAGCCAGCAACATATCTGGTCAGCTGGATGGACTGATCACTGACCTCGATGCTAAAGACCACATGAATGAACATGCAGATATTTGTACATTATATTTTCATTATTAAAATGTAATTAGGAATTTTAACTTATGAGTAAACTGTGATAAACAAAATTCTTGGTTCCCTTTCATGATCCACACCCAAAACCAAAAAAATCAGTTAAATCCAAAATTATGACAGATCTAGAACAGCAGCAGATCGTATTAGTCATCTATCAAGGACACAACTCTATGTGACACACTGGAGGAACTGAATTATTCTCAGCGGAAAATAATTCAGTTCAGGTTTGACCAGTCTGTTCTCTGGATTACAGGAACTTGTGCGTCTCTGGAACCAGAATATAAAAAGTTAAGAATTGGATCAGAACCTCTGCGTTTACACAGCAGGTCAGGTTCGTCTGGAAAACGTCAATTCGATGCAGCGTAGTACGTGGATTCTTTAAAAAAACAACAGGAAATTCTTTATACCCAGAGAAGCTGCAAGAAGCCACGAACAAGCGGGACCAATTCTCCTTTACTTAGAAGGTCCGGAACCAGGCAGATCCAAACATGTGTGAGGAAACAGAGTGATGCAAGAGGAGCTGTGACCCACAGCACGGCAACCTCACCTGGGTCTTCGTCAGGTTCTTGTCCGGTCCCATAAGGTAAGCGGTGAGGAAAGGTTCCGACGGCCGCAGGCTGGAGAAGAAGCCGTGCACACACAGCAGGACAGTGGGATACACCGCAGACATCGTGGACCAGTTCGTTTCGACCTCCAAGCGCTTCTGCTTCTATGGTTTCTCTCATTTTTGACTGGACTCTGCAATAATCTGGTTTGAGTAAATTACCGCCCCAGCTGTTCTGAAGATGAACTGCAGCTAAAGGAGTTGATCTTTCTGAGCTAGAATAAAAATAAACGGATCAGTTTTAAAGGGTTCATTTTAGACAAACAGTTCATTTATATAATATTTTATTTTGTCACAAATCACAAACTTCCACATATTTTATTGGGATTTTATATAATGTTGTCTTTTTACAGCAAAATCTTCAAATATGAGCGTCACACCTCAAATCAATTAAATTCTTTTTATGATTAGTGGTGGGATTTGATTAAAAAATTTAATCCAGTCAATGGCAGAGCCTGTAATTAATTAATCAATCACATTTT